AGAGAGAGAGAGAGAGAGAGAGAGAGAGAGAAAGAGACCGAAAGAGAAAAGAAATTCCCAGCATCTACAAGGAAAAAAGATCCCCAAATCCACTCTTCCTTTTTTCTCCCAAAGTACTGAGGACAGAACTCAGGCTTTGTACATGGTAGGCAAGCACTCTTATCATTGAGCTACATCCACCTTAAATTTTATTTTTTAATTATTTTTTAAACACTTATTTATTTATTTATTTATTTATTTATTGTGGGGGGGGGCAGCTCAGCTCACCAGGGGGTGGGGCGGGCTGGCATGTGGTGCTGGGGGATCAAACCACGGTCCCTGTGCTTTGCCAAGCTTATTCAGAGTAGGTGCTTTAGACCACTGAGCCATCTCGCCAGCCCCTTAAATTTTATTTTGACACGAGGTCAAAATAAAAATTTGACACCTAGGCTGGTCCAGTTTGGATATTCCTGCCTCAGCTTCTTAAGTCACTGGAGTTACACACACCACTGCTCCTGGCTTTAACCAACCAACTAACTAACTTACTTACTTTCTTCTATTTTAGGGAAGAGTCTACAGGGTCTTCAGGGTCTCACTACTACATCGGACTTGTAGTCATCCACCTGTTTACAGCCTCCCAAGAGCTGGGATTACAGGCGCACGCCGTGCACGGTCTCAACTGCCATCTGTGTGCCTCGGGGGTGGGGCTGGCACAGCAGGCCTGGGGATGGAACTCCTGGCCCGTTTACAGGCGCTTTAATCCACTGAGCTTTTTGGCTGGCCCAACAACCATTCTTTCTTTTTCTTTTTTCTTTCTTTTTTTTTTTTTTTTTTTTTTTGTGGTACTGGGGATTGAACTCAGGACCCTGGCAGGCACTTATTCTACTGTGCTATCTCCCCAGCCCCCAACATTCATTCTTAACCATTCTCTAGGATCAGATGGGGTCAGAGGCCCATGCAGGCTAATACTCACCTGCTCAGCAGGCACCTACTATAAGTTAAGCCCTGTGCTGAGGCAGGTGACAGCCAGCCAGGGGCCTGGCCTCAAGGGCCCACAGAGGGACGACATCATGTGAGAGTGCTAGGATCTGGGAGCTAGGTAACGCCTGGACCCCTGACCTAACCAAGGAGTCAGCTGTGCCTTTCTGGAAGAGGAGACACATGAGCAGAGACCTGTTCATTCCCCAAGCCACCAATTAAGTAAGAGAGTTGACAAGGACAGGAACAATGACAGAACTAAAGTCAGCTAGAGAGGAGAGGAGAGACACAAAGGACAAATCGGGAACTCAGAAGCCAGCCACAGCAGGAAACACTCAGTCAGACTGCTGAGTGGCCCCGAGACCCCTCTGTGAGGCTGAAAATAAGATGAGGGGCCTGGGTGAGCAGCCTTGCCAGTACCAGGCCATCTCCATCTCCCGCAGCTTGGTGGCACCCATCTGCATGCTGATCACGTTCCTATAAGGACACTGGCTGCCTGTACAACCCGCACCACAAAGCACCCACAGACTTGTCCTTTCAAAGGTCTCCGTGTCTTCCAGCGAGAGGAGCTGATCATCACGCTGTCCCAAGGGAAAAATACGCTGGGAAGCTCCCTGCTAACAAGGCCTTCTGGGCAACCAACTTCAGCCTTCCTTCTTTCAGGCCATCCAGGACTAGAACCCAAGTTCCAGCTCCTTCCATCATCAATGACAAGAGCTTGTCTGTCTGTCTGTCTGTCTTTCTTTCTTTCTTTCTTCTTTTTTTGGAACCAGAGATTGAACTCAGGCCCTTATGCTTGCCAGGGAAGCGCTTATTCCACTGAGCCATCTACCCAGCCCCAAGAGCTGGTATTTCTGAAGAAAGTGATGCCCCAGGTGGGCTTACACTCTGGTCTGCGTGCCCAGCCTTCTAACAAGTTTGTGAGGGATCTGCTCTCATCCTCAGCTAATTGCTGCAACAGTAACAGAATGCTTCATACATACATCCAACTAGATGATATTTACACCTCCAAGCTGGTTATGAACATGAGATTTTATGGACAGTGGAAAATGAGTGAGCAAGGGGTCTTGGGACAACATCTAAAACCTTAACAACTAGCATGAGCATGCTTGCCCCTCCCTTCTTCTGCTCTGATGGGTACAGCGAAGATATGATGGCTAGAGCCTGAGTAGTCCTCTTAGACCTTGAGACATGTCTGGTTAGAGAAGATGTATCCAACAACAACAACAAAAAAAAAAACAGAAATCGGTCATCAGGTGGGTTTTTTTTTTTTTTTTTTTTTCAGAACCAGAAATTGAATTCAGGCCCTTACCCTTGCCAGGCATGCACTTATTCTACTGAGCCATCTCCCCGGCCCTCATCAGGCGCTTTTTTGTGAGTCAGAAATAAAGCTGATCTCGTGAATGCTTCTCATGTTTTAGGTATCTGTTACCTACAACAAATATGATTGAACACAACATGTCACCTCACATGCAGAAGAGCAACAAGGCTCAGGGAGATAGTCTCTGGTCCAAGGCACAGATTATGGAATAGCAGAATTTGAATCCAGAATCTTGAGACTCCAAACTATATAAAACTAGCCCCAAAGGCATCTTACTCCTTGGACAAGCCTCTCTGTGCCTATCCTCTGCAAGGCAGGCCCAGGTAGACAACTGGGAAAGCAGGCTTCTGCACGCCTGCAGAGTGCAGAGCTGTGCCAGGCCATGGCTCCTGAGACATGAAGAGCAGCCTCCTGGTCTGGGGTGAGAATCTGAGGAAGCAGGGGCATACACCAAGGGCTGAGCACATCCGTGACTATGTGAGCCATTTTCCTCAGATGCACCTCCTGCCCAGGAACAGCAACAGCCGCCTCAGGCCTGCTCCAAGGATGAGGAAGGAGGTGCCCAGGCAGCAGGCACTGAGCCTGGAACACCACGTGCCTGCATAAATGGTAGCTATTCATGCCTGAGCACATAGTGCATTCCCAGCCCTTTGCTGGGGCCTCAACTATGATCCAGCTATAATGTAACCCAAAGATGGGCTCATTCTTCCTCTACTTAGTGGATCTTTTCTGGGTGACAGAGGCAAGAGAAGAGCTCAAGAAGCTTCGCTGCTCCACAGCATGGGGCAAGAGTAGCCTGTCTTATGGGTGATTATTGAATTCAAAACCATTCATGCATCTAAGCCTTCTCACATAGCCTGTCGCCAGAGAAGAGGGTGGCTGCCGTTGATATTTTGCTTTCCTCATCCATTTTTTAAAACAGTATTTGTTAGACTTAAACCCTGAACACAAATGTGACCTAAATACATCTAGCATCCAATCTCAGGGGACTGGGCATCCATGTGTATCCATAAACCTGTTTTGTACATCTATATCTCAAATGTGTTACACTTTACAAAGAAGAATAATAGGAAAACAATTATAGGAAGTCTTCAGGGCCAAAACTTTCCTGAAGCCTGAGATCTGACAATGAGCAGAGGCTGAGAAGGTACAGGAAAAGGTTCTGCAAAGGTTTTACAGCTGAAGAAGGCCAGAGTCAACGGGGGAGTAGCCAAGAGGCTAAGATGTCTTCAGCAAAAGACCTACACAGAGTGGAGCGGCAGAGTCTGGAGGAGCAGCAACAGCCAGATTATGAGGGCTGGGCTGGTAGTTGTGTGGCTGAGTATGTGCCTAGCACAGCAAGGCCCTGAGATCCATCCCCAGCACTGGAGGGAAAAAAACAGTCCTTGGGCTGGCGAGATAGCTCAGTGGTCTAAAGCGCCTGCTTAGGCAAGCTTAGGTAGACTCAGAGGACAGAAGTTCGATTCCCAGCACCACATGAGGCGCCAGCCCCAGCCTCAGGGTGGGCTGAGCCAGAAAAAACAAACAAACAAACAAACAAACAAACAAACAAAACAGCCCTTATGGGGAGCCTGGGCTTTCTCCCAAAGGCACTATTAAGAGGCATAGAAGAGTTCTGGGCAAGAAAGTAGAATATGCCTGCTTTGTGCTTTAGAAAGCCCTCTCCAGCCCCCTGGAAAGGATGGGCTGGAAGGGACAAGACAGCCAGGAGAGCAGAGGAGAGAAGGGTGAGCAATGACTCGTAGGAAACGGCAACAGCTATACAAATATCACCTACCAGAACTAAGCCTGGTAAACACATAGGTGCCATTTCAACCTAAGGTGCCAAGGACAAGTGCAAGTGAAACAGGTAAGAGGATGATGCATCAAAGGCCAAAGCAGGGGGCCTGCCCCTTAGCTCAGTTCTTTAAGTGGCTGCTTCAACAAAGCCGTCAGGCTCAGGTTGCTGTGGTTCGATCCCCACAATTCAAGCCAGCCAGTCATGCCTTGAAGGCATTTGGAGCAAAAAAACCAAACAAACAAACAAAAAAAAAAACACTTCTGCCGGGGAGATGGCTCAATGGAATATGCACTTCCCTGGCAGGCGCAAGGGCCTGAGTTCAATCCCCGGTTCCGAAAAAAAAAAAAAAAAAATAAATTAATTAATTAAATTAAATTAAATTAAATTAAAAAAAAGGCCAAAGCACCCTTGTGACAGAGACAGAAAAAGGCCAGAGGAGCTATCCAAGAAAGCTGAGAGACTGGCAGAAGCCAGGCCACAGGGCCTTTTAGGCCACAGCTTGCAATCATGAATGACTAGTAATGGCACAGCTAGTAGGGGCCAAGGAAACCCTAAGAGTAGCTGAGCTCTTCTGGGCCCCAGTGCTCTGGAGGAGGCTAGTCCAGGTCCTGACTGCTCAGAGTTACAAAGTCTCCCTTCTTTCCTGGTAATACTAGATCTGTGCTCCAGTGCCTCACCAAACAGCACAGTGCAACAGGGCCCCACAGATCTGTACCAATGACTATGCTCAAGAAACAAGGATGATTCTGTTGAGAAAACGGGGCTCTAATCCTGGCATACTTCTGAGCCCCAATTCTACCTGGCGGACTGACCAGGGCCCCTCCCTCTGGAGGCTCTCCCTCCCAGGGCAATGGCCGGTCACTCACGATCTTTTCATAGTACTCCCGCCGCCGCTCTGCCCTCTTCTTATAGTCAACCATCATGCCTCGAAGCTTCCGCTCATGTTTCCGAGCTTCGTGCCACATTGTGAGGCCAAGCCTGGGGCCTCAACCTGGGGGAGGAGGGGGCGAGGGGTGTCAGGCTGTGAAAAACAATATGGGCACAGTCACCTAACAAGGTGGGGGCAAACATGACCTGCTTCTCAGCTTCGGGGGAGGGGAAGTGTGGCTGCAGAACTGTGGGCCAGATGCTCAGGTGTATCCCTGACAACTCTGACCCAGTAGTTTTCGCGCATTCTGAAGTACTCCTAAGTGACCCTAGGGCGAGCATCTGTGAGGGGAGTGTCCCCTAGATGCTGGAGCCAGGATGAAAGTCCACAGCAGGGACAGCAGAGGCTCGAGGAAAGGAGAGAGATGTGAAGGACGTCTGTGGGTGTGGGACAGGGATGAAGGACGAACTTAATAGAAACCGTGTAGAGGTGTGGAGGTGGTAACTGAGGGCAGGTGAAGGGCGTGGATGGAAAATGACGCCCCTTGAGAGAGCTCTGTGGAGGCGGCTGAGGGGAGAAGGCGAGCGCGGCTGGTGTGAGGACGGGTTTCTACAGCGGCGGCGCGGCGGGGGGTGGGTCCAGGAAAGAGAAAGGCGGAGCGGGCCTGGCTCCCGGCGAGGGGCGGGGGATGAGTCTGAGGGGCTCCGCCTGGTGACAGGGACCGGGCCCAGGAGTTCGGAAAGCGCTCGCGGACCAGGTCAGCGCCGAGCCCCCACAAGGCAGACTGGGCCCACAGCGGAACAGAGGCGCGGCCTGGGGCCCGTCAGGAAGAAGGGGGAGCGGGCGGGCTTCGGAGACCAACGCGCGGCACCGGGCCGCAGCAGCTCCCAGAGGACCCCGACATGGGTGAACCCGAGCTAATGCCATCGGAAAATCAGGAGGTCTGGACAAGACGCCTGCACTCACCGGCTGGTCGCCGCCTCCCAATGCTGCGCTCGCGCGCCGCTCGCACCGGAAGCGGAAATGGGGTCCACTCGAAGGGGCGGGACAAAGTAGCCTAGAGCGCGCTTCCGTCGTGGGCGGAGCCCGGGCGTGAGGGGCGGGGACAGGTGAAGGCGGAGCGGACTGGGGGCTGGGCGGTGGGCAGAGGCTGGGGTGCTTTCCAAGTGGATAGACAAGACGCTCCAAGGCTTAAAAATTCAACTTTATTGGGAAGACTGCAAACAACCCGGAGGTTGTACAATATGTATAATCTCACCGTCTGCCCGAGAAGGCTTTCTTTTCCTCCCCCAACTCCTTTAACGGGGCTCCAGGGGAGGCCGTAGCCCGGCTTCTCCCCAGGCCTTCAGTTGTCCGATCAGGTACGGGGTCGGAATTGACTATGGCGGCCCCGAAGAAGGGGTGTCTCGGCCCGCCGGCCTCCCTGCCCCGCCGGTGTTCTGGGGCTACGTGGCCTCGGGCCCCGGAGACAGCAGGCCGCCCCCGAAGGCCGCTTCGCGGTACTGGTTGGGGAACATGTTGCTGCCCACGAGGCTGGCGGTGCCGCCATCCGCAGGGCCCGGGGCTGCGTAAGAGTCCAGCGTCAGCGGCTCAGGGCCAGGGGGCTCCCCGAGCGCCGGGCCCGCACACCCCCCGCCGGGGACAGCACTGGCGAGCGGCGGCGCCGGGGGTAGCAGGTCCAGCATGGTGAAGAGCGAGGGCGCCGTGGGGTCGTAGGCAAAGCCATCGTCCAGGAGTTCGGGCGCGCCCGGGGGCTCTAAGCCAGGCAGGGACACAGTGCCTTGGAAGAAGTCTGTGTCGGCCAGCAGGGCTGACTGCGGCAGGAACGCGCCTGGGAAGAGAAAGGTGAAGCTCGTTTGGGAGCCACAGGAGACGCCCCACCCCGGGGTGTGGGGTGGCGGATCACCCATTTGATTTCATCAGCAAACTGAGCTCAGTGATGCGCACCTGAAATCCCAGCTACTATTACTGGGTAGGCTGAGACACGAAGACAGCAAGTTTCAGCCCAGGTTGGGTAATTTAGGACTTACTGAAATCTCTGGGGTTGTATAGCTGTCAGTGCAAACAAAGGCCCCAAGTTCAATCCCAGTACCGCAAAATAAATAAATAAATAAATAAACAAACAAACAGCCGGGCGTAGTGGTACACACCTGTAATCCCTAGGATGAGGCAGCAGGCTCACTATTAGTTTGAGGCCAGCCTGGGCTACAAAGTGAGTTCAAGACCAGACTGAACTGCCTAGTGAGACCCTGTCTCAAAAAGACAAAATTAAATAAACTAATGCTGGGAATGTTGGTCAGTAGGAGAGCGCTTGCCTGGCATGCACAAAGCCCTGGATCAACCCCTGGCCCTACAAAGGGAAAGAAAAGCCAACAGGCAGAAATAATGAAATCACACAGCTGTCCAACTGTGGAACCATGACTCAACTGACACTCCTGTGGGGCTGGGCAATGTTTTTTTCCAAGAAGGAAGAAAAAGGGGAGGCCCGCTCCTAAGTATGGAGAACCCACACAATTAATTTCCACATCATGGGAAAGTCGCCAATCTCCAAATTAGAAGGTAAAATAATTGTCACTGTAGGAGCTAGACCAGGCCAGGCATGGTGGCACACTCAGCAGGCAGTGGCAGGAAGATCTTTTCAAGTTCAAATCCAGCCTGGACTACATAATGAGTAGGCCAGCCTGCCCTACAAACTGAGACCCTGTCTCACAAAACAAACAAAACCCAAGAGAGCCACATCCCACTGCCTTGGTCATGGTAGCCACTGAACTACACCCCCAACCCTGCTTTTTTTTTTCTTCTAACAAGACAAACCGGGGCTGGGGAGATGGCTCAGTGGTCTAAAGCACCTACTTAGAACAAGCTTAGCAAAGCACAGGGACCACAGTTCAATCCCCCAGCACCACATGCCAGCCAGCCCCGCCCCCTGGTGGGCTGAGCTGGCCACACACATACACAAATAAATAAATAAAATTA